AGAGCTGCAGTGGCACAGTGGTTAGAATGCAGCACTGTAGACTACTTCTGCTGACTGCTGATTGCCAGCAGTTTGAATCTCACCGGCTCGAGGTTGACTTCAGTCTTCCATCTTTCTGAGGTCAATAAAATGAGGACCCAGATTGTTGGGGACAATACACTGACTGTGAACGGCTTAGAGGCTTGTAAAGCACTGTGAAGCGGTATACAAGTATATGTGCTATTGCGTGCTATCCTTCCCTGCCCCCCCAAGTGGTAGTAGATGGCATTTTGAGGTGAAGTTGAACAGCTATGCCAGTTTGGTTTTGAGACTACTGGAACCTACATCTATGGGTATTTGCTATGTTTACACTGTCTGTTTCTCTTATTAGGAAAACTAGTTTTCACTAACCTGGATGACTGACCTCTGAGAAGAACAATGTAGCTATTATCATTATTAGCTAAATAAGTTTCAAGGGGCATGATGGTTAAGATGCTGAGCTTGTCAGCTGGAAAGCCGACAGCCCAGGTTTGTGACCTGAGTGCCATGTGACAGGTGAGCTCCTATTACTCACCACAGCTCCTGCCAAGCTCGGAGTTTGAAAGCACGCTAATGCAAGTAGATAAATAGGCACTTTGGCAGGAAAGGATACTGCATTCTGTATTGTCATGGCGGCCACTTGGTGGCAGAAATGTCTCTCAGACAACCCAGGATCCCTCGGTTGAGAATCTGAGATCAGCACTGTCCCCCGAGCCATGACTGCATCTGGGCAGAGGAAAACCTTTAAACCTTAAAATGAGTTTCAAACCTGCTGAGTCCAATGGAAGATCTGACGATGTCTCTTGAGGAAACTAATGTGTTGAACCCTGTAAGATTAGCTCCAAAAGGGCTTAATTTTCACAAGACAAAAAATACCACATTTTTCAGAGTATAAGATTCACCTTTTTCCCTAAAAAAAGAGGCTGAAAATCTGGGTCCGTCTTATACACTGAATACAGCATTTTTTTGCCTCCCGAAATCCTGCCTCTTCACCAAAATGGCCGTGAAGAGGCCGTAGAAGGCTTTCAGAGAACTCCTGGGGGCTGGGGAAGGAAGGAATGAGTGAAAAATTGGCCATTTTTGGCTCATTCCCCCCCCCCCAGAGCACTCTGCAAGCCCCCTAAAGGCTATTCATGCCTTTTTTTGGAAAAATGGGCCGTTTTGGGGAGGTTTACAAAGTGCAAAAACTTTTTTTTTAATTTGCCTTTTCAAAACCTTGGTGCGTCTTATACTCCAAAAAATACAGTATATATATTGACAAACTTCTAAAAAAATTTTAACAGTAATCCAACCAAACTTTTCATTGGCAAAAAATTAGCTGAATCTGACGATGATTAAAAAATTCCTTGTCTTTCACTACTGATAACAATGACATAAAATTAAAGGGCCAATATTTCAGGGTTAAAACAAAAGAAAGGCAGAACGTTTCTGAACTTGAGAGAACCATACGCACACTTCTGTTTGAAAATTTTTTATTCGTTTTCTTTTGCCTTAAAAAAGTTATCAGTGCAACATTTCAGAACATCCACGCCTCACCCACCAAACACTGAGCAGTAGTTAATTTTAATTAGGAAATACTGAGTTCTGAAGCCAGTGGGTTATCATTTTGCTATTTATTTCCTTCTCTCAAACTCTGAAAAAAGTCCTCTGTATAAATTAAACAAATAAAAAAAAGGATGTTACTCTCAATCCTAGGTCATCATTACAGCCAACAGAATCGTAATAATGCATCTAAAATGTGTGTCCACAATATATCAAAGGATACATTTGGGAGGGGGAAAAACACAAGAAAAAATATGACATTCTAGACTTGTTAAAAAGGATAATGGTCCCATATATTTATTAACAGGTTAGCAAAAAATAAAATAAAATAAAATAAAAAAAAACAAAAAAAATCCAATGGATTACAATATTTACATGTTATTCGAAAAATAAAGTAGTGATAAAAGCATGTCACAATCATTTCTTTTTTTTTTCTTTTTCATTTTTGGTAACCATTAAAAACATCCAATCCAGGTATGGAACTGTTTAAATACATTTGATATGAGGCCAATTAAAAAGAAAACATTCAGACACAAAATGTTTATTTATACTTCTTCCAATGTGTTTGCCACATCACATGACTTTCCCTCCCCACCAAATAATTAAAAAAGGAAAAAAAAAAACAACGGAAATTGAAAGCCCACCCTCACAAACTAAGAATCTGCAAAATTCAATACATGCTTTTTTCAAGTAGTATTTCCTCCACAAATGCAATGGTAGTTGTTTGTTTTCTTTTCTTTTCATCTCTTTCACGCCATCCGTTTGAGAATTTTTGTGTGGCATCAGCTTTTCCACAGCTTCCTGTTTCCCACCCCATCCCTTCCCTTCCCTTCAAAGTTAAAAAAAAAAACAATAAAAAGGAAAAGAAAAAAGGAAAAGAAAAAAGGACAAAAAAAAAGCAACCCAGAGACATGCATTTCTAAAACTAGATTTCACTCAAGTACTTTCTACTTTTGGAAAGTAATCCCATTTGTTCACAATCAGACCATTCTCCCCTGGGCCTGGACCTTCTCCTTCAGGTTCATGCAAGATATCCCAACATTTTTACATGGAAAAAAGAACTCAAAACACAACTTCCGTTCCTATTTAGGCTCTGCAGTTCCCCCTCGTGTGAAGAATGCGAGGTGGCGCCATGATTTCTCTCCCTCCTTGAAGTCCACAAAATGTAGATCTCTAGGCTCCTAGTATTGCAAAACTGGGTTACCTGAACTTTAGAACTATATGTGGTTATCGATTCCCTCCCCCTCCGACCCTCCTTGTACCAAAACGAGACAAACCACATTGAAAAAAAGAAAAAGCAACCATTCTTAAGTAACCAAAATAATAATCAGTGAAAGATGTTCAATTGGACGAGCAACAGAATGATTCTGAGGACTCATGGATGGGTCCACAACCTGCATAGTTGTGCTGTAAGTTTGGTTCTTTAGTTAAAGGGTCTTTTTTTGTTTTTGAGTTTCTTTAAAAAAGTTACTTCTTTGATTTCTCCACATGTTTAAAACTAAATAATAATAATAATAAGTCATCATCTATTCACCATAATTACTTCTCCTTCCCAGCCCTATCACATTGGGTGAGAGCAAAGGAGAAATGCGGGGGAAGTAACATTACTTTACATGGGAAAAAAATTAATTGTGCTGTATTGTAATCCCTCAGGCTGAGCCGACGTAGACATGGGGCAAACGAGAACGGCACAGAGTCAATCACATGAGTCTTAAAAAAATAATAATAAACCCAACCAACAAACAAACCCAACGCCCTAAAATCATAGCTGAACGCTAACAAACAGCTTACCTGGAATAAAAGATGACAAGTCACAGACAGTATCTAGGAATTCTCTCTTTTTTGTTTTGTTTTTTTACTAAAATAATTAAAAAAATCACAGTATTTTAAGAAATAAACCCCCCACAGGGATTTTTGAGCACTATTTTTTTTTGTTTTCTTCTCTTTCTTTTAAAACTTTGTGGTTTTTCTTCCATTCACCATCTTGCCCAGCAGTCTGTCTTTCTATATATATTTAACCACAACAACAACAGGTAGTACTCACAAATGCAGAGATTTGTTTTGTGTTTTTTTGTTTTGTTTTTAATTTCCCTTGGTTAATTCTGAGGTACTAGGAAACAGGTGACTGTTTTAAGCCAAAGCAGTCTTTAACTTTCTTTTTTTTCTTGTTTTTTTTTTTTTTTTTGTCACTCTGGAAAAGCGTAATATGTATATTAAAACTAGAAAAAAAAAAAAGAGTGCCCCAAAGTTGGGCACGGAACTTTGTCCCCTGCATTCTTCCATCCTTGGGACGCCTCCGTCGTCGAAAGAATCCCGAAGTCTCCAGCAGTGGAGCACAAAGGCAAAATGCAAGACGCGTCTGGGAATTTGATTCTCGCCAAGTCCAAAGTTATGACCGTGTAACTTCCCATTGTCGAGATCCAGAAGAGTCATGTGGGTGTCGTGGAGCCATGGATCCCACCGTCCTCAATTAAATAAATTTAATCTATGTACACACACGCCCACCCACGCACGCCCACACATGCGTGCGCGCACACACACACACACACACACAGGTACCAGTGCTTTGAAAATAGATCATTCAGTCCTAAAAGCAGCTTTGATTCTTCCTTGTCCCCCTGCCCGCCCCCTCCCCATTCATCACTGTTCAAGTAGGTTGTCGGAAATCACACCAGGTGCTCATTCACTTTTGACCTCTGCCATCTCTGGGAGTGATTTATTATCAGCAGCAGCAGTAGCAGCAACAGTGACACAGATGGCAGCTTCGTTCTTGTGGGAAAAGTCCACCAGTCTCTTTGGGCTGCTTTCCATTTCTTCTGCCAATGGTACCTTAACCGTCTCTTCTGCATTCTCTTTGGCCTGGCTTTCGTCACTGATGACCCGGTTGGTTTCATTCATTGCCCTGGAAATGGAGACAGGAAGGGAAAAAATGTGATGATTTGGGCATCCCGGGGAACCTCTTGGCTCTTTTTGCTAGGGTAGAGCCAGCATGACTTAGAAATTTGGAAGAGTAAATCCACGTCAGCCTTAGGAATAACTTAGCAAGTCAGATGGCCTCTAAGCCTGGGATACATGTACAGGCAGTCCTTGAGTTATGACCATAAGGGAGCATAATGGCCATTAAGGTCGTAACGTTAATTGAATCACTTTTAACGAATGAACCCCCATCCTGCCTCTCCCTGTTGCATTCGTTAATCGAATACACGGGTCGTTAAGTGCGCATGAAGTACCTCAGGGATGGGGAAGACCATGGGGAGTCTAGTGCAGAAAAAGACCACCCGCCTGGGGCCACCTAAGGTCTCCCCACACCCACTGAGATATCTCATATTCCCCTTCCCATCCCTTAGGGTCCCCATAGCTGCTTCAGCCTCCTCTGCACTTACCTTTCAAAGATGGGTAGAGCTCAGGGATGCATGATAGAAAAGTGGCTTTCTTCTCAGATGCAGGTGAAGTTGTTTTCTTTAGATCTCATGTTCTTCTGCACCCTTTGGAAAAAGCTTGTCCTACAGACATTGGAGGCTTGCGTTGAGATCGCACCCCCGAAGGCCTCCATCCCTTTGCAAAAGCTTTTGGCAAAGAGGAGAGAGTCCTGCAGAGGTGTGTGTGTGATCTTGTACATGTTCAGGCCTCCAGCCTCCGTAGTCTGTGCAAAACGCCTTTTGCAAAGGGGACAGATAGGCAGGTAGAACAGCTTAACCAGTCTCTGAGAAGAAGGATACTGTTCCACCACGTGGCTCTGAGTTCTGCAGGTCTTGAAAAGGTAAGTGAGCGGATCAGTGACAGGATAGGGAGGAGCCGGTGGGCTAGCATATCAGGGCTTCTGCCTGTTAGGGCCCTGAGGGATGGGGGAATAGGCAGGGGACATGCGTTCCTGTGGTTGGTTGTAAGACTGAGTGACTGCCATTGTGCTGCAACATTCATACCTGTGGGACTGGGTTGTAAGTACATTTGGGGGTGGTGTCGTAACTTTAAACCGTTGCTAAGTGAACTGACATAACTCAAGGACTATCTGTACAGGATAAAATAAGGTGGGTGTTGTTTCTTCCAAATGGTTAGCAAGCTCCCCCTTAAATCAGAAGATAGGTAGAGGAACAAAGGCATCAAGAGGTACCTGTCTTTGTGCACTTGCTGATTTGGGGGAGTGTTGGGGACTAAAACATACAGATATTTGGTTCCCAAGATTTAATTTATTTTTCCTTTTAATAAGGCTGACTAATTAGTCTTTGCAAGATTATGGATTTCTCTGGGACTTAAGAGTAACTGGGCAATTTATTGTAGCTTAAGAGAATCAGTTTCTTATAGTGAGGTTAAAACACCAAGGCTGGAAACTGGAGACTATGAGTCCCAGTCTCATCTTAGGCACAAGGCCGCTTGAGTGACTTTGGGCCAGTTACTCTCAGCCTTAGGCCAGGGGAAAATGGCAAACCATTTCTGAATAATCTTGCCAAGAAAACTGCAGGGAGTCTAGGCAGTTGCCAGGATTGTGTCTGTATGTCAGCAACCACACAGTAGAAAAATTTCATTCAAGAATATAATGCATATGACCAAGTAATGAGACATACCCCCCCCCCCAATTATAGAATACAGTCAAATGTCTACTATATAATCCATGTTGGGAATTACTATCTAGTTAATGGATAACAACATTTCAAAATGTTATCCCAATGAAGAAGGATATTCAGAGGCAGATGAAAATATGGTTACGTTTGTAGGGAGAAATGATGACTTTTATATCAAGCCTGATATGTATTTTCGTCCCAGATAAATAAATAATTACATTTTATGGAAGGAAAAAATACACAGGATCTCTTGGTGAGCTATGCTGAGGGTGGCTTTAATCTTTCTAATTTTCAACTATAACACTGTCATTATATATTCAAGGCATTCATGTACTAGAAGGAAAATATTGACTATTTACCTTTAGTACTACTGTTTAGTAGCCTTGTAATCTAACAAGTTCTTTGTTTTCATTACAGTAAAACCCAAAGCTATAGACAGTTTTCTTCAGTCAGCTTTGTTTGTAGCATTTGCTTCATAATACACAATATACCAGGGAAATGCTCCATTCTTCCCTTTGCTGGTGGAAGAAGTGGTAGCTTCTGGATCCACTTACATGCCATGTCTCAGCACATGCCGTTCCCATTCAGAGCCTTCAGCAAATGTTCGCCCGCAAAATTCACAGGGGAAGCGTTTTTCAGGAGGACCGTTTTCTGAAAACCTCATGTTCCCTTGGAGGAAAAGAAGCACATAAACATGTATCAATCTTAAGAATAAGCCAAAGTTCTCTGAAGGAGGCAGAAGGCAGAAAGAGAAAGTAGTCTGAAAGTCCAATAGAAAAAAAAAGTCACAAATTTCCCTACTTGAAAGGACTTGTGAGATGGGAATCCAATATCTTTAGAAAGGGACATTTTCATTTGGCAAAGAATGTGAACATCCTGTGCTTCTCTTTGAGTCAGTTTCTCTCTCTCCCTCCCTCCCTCCCTCTCAAGGTAAGAGAAGCACAGGATGTTCACATCCTTTGCCAAATGAAAATGTGTATGTGTATGTACCGTATTTTTCGGAGTATAAGACGCACCGGAGTATAAGACGCACCAAGGTTTTGAAGAGGCA